AATTCTTCATAGTCGCGCTTTCTCCGAGCCGTGGCGTCCGAGAGGACGCGGATCTCTGGTGTCTCCGTTCGTTCGAGGAACGAAGGACCCAACACCAGCTGATCGAATTACGATGATCGTAGTCCTCATCCTCGGCGGGCAAGAAGCCCTGGGACGAACTCGAGCGATACAGAAGCCTATCCAAAACGTTTCGGCCACTAATCCTAATGCCCGGACCCCTATTCCGGATTTAATAATAGCTCTTCTTAGACGCAACAGTTAAGTTCCAAGCTAAACTGTTGCGCGGTAGCGAACCCATAATCGGTTCCTTTCTAACGGAGAATGTCCACGATTGGTCCACGGCTCGCAGCTACCGTCCGACTTAATTGGCCAGTCTTATAGGTGTCCGACAAGGTGAGAATAACGACGTTTTGAGATTTGAGTGTCGATCTCGTCGACTATCGAGCGTTATAATGTCTCTTACGAATAAAACGAATAAACACGCATTCTCTCATGGACAGCTTCGCTTTCGGCATCAAATAAAAATCTTTGTCGATGCCACGATTAAATCTTCTAATAGAAAACATTGTTTAACTTACTTTGTTTGTTTTTCTTCCTATTTTTCTTTCTTTAGAAAATTTGTTATTGAAATTCGATTTTTACGTATGTCTTTGCAGTAATGTTATTATTAATTTATAATATTATAAAGTTTAGACACTTTCTTTTATTTTTGAGATAAAAATTTATTAAAGGTTGCTTACTTGCATTACTTCACGTTCCACGATATTCCTTCGAACGTGAGAAGCTTAAAAAGCGCTTTCGCAGAAGAAATGTGTTCGATGTTGTTTCGATGAAGCGCGTAACTGGATGCTTCCGAGCAACAGCATCGATCGAAAAGGGATGGGTAATTTGCAATTAGTCTCTCCTTGTCCTTCACGTCAGCGAGGAAAGGAGGAAGAGCGCCAAAGGGATTTCGGCCGGGCGGCCGAAGGGGGTGGGCGGGTCGAAGGGGGGGCTGCTAGCGCCAGAAGTAGCTGGCAGGCTCGAGGAAGACGAAAGGGCCCGTTTTAAAGAGGCGAGCATTAAAAACAACAATGTCATTACATTTTAACGACCTGTTCTTTGGCTCTGCCCTCCCTTTTAAGAGCGTTCGTTTGCAGGTATGTGGTCCGCGCTCACGGGGGCCACCACGCCACGCCGAGGGGGCCCCTATAACACTCGCGCACACGAGTCGCGTGTGCTGCGCGTACGCGGGGCTACTTCGTCCTACCACCTACCACCTTCGGTTCCCTCCTTCCATAATTCAACGCGAAATTAGAGTCCCGTGCTAAGTAAGAGCGAGCTGACAAGGTAGCTTCAGAGCGAATGTTTTTTTTTTTTTTCGAGAGTAAAATTTTATCTATGTAAAATAATAATCCATTCGATCGTCGTTTCAATGTTGATAATTAGAGTAAGAGACTTTCTTTGGATATTTTTTTTGTTTTGTTGAAGAAATATTTTGCGTGAAGAGGGAAGTGAAGCAAAAGAAAAGTCGGGCTATTTTAAACGCGAGCCACTTTATCAGAGAGAATGGAGCAAAGCTCGTGTAAGTCCTCTTCCGCCTGGCTTGTCCCGCATCTTCTGTCCCCTTCTCACCGGAGGACCCCCGGTTTCGTTCTCCACACGCGTTCCGGGCACGCCGTGCAGCCCGCGAAGAATTAGTATGGGCGAAGAAACAAAAGCACGAGGAATCGCGGCCGCGGAGGGGTCGGCGACGACGAAGAAGATGGAGAAAAAAAAGGAGACCGAAATGGCGCCACACGTTCAGC